GTGACTTTAATACTCTTCCTTTTCTGTCTGTCTCTTCTTTCTTTTGTTCTTAGTCTTCTTATGGAGATTATAAGAGTGGGCTCCTTAAATATCAATGGAGGAAGAGACAGGAGCAAGAGAGCAATGGTTGCTGAAATAATTAAATTAAAAAATATAAACATCACATTTTTACAAGAAACACATACAGATTGTGATAATGAGGTAGAATGGCATGGATGGTGGGATGGGGAGTGTTTCATCAGTCATGGATCAAACATAAGTGCGGGTGTGGCTATTCTTTTTTCAAAGAATATGGATTTAAATATTTTGGCAACCATAGAATTAGAAAAAGGTAGAGTTTTAATAGTTAAAGCAGAAATTAAGGGGATTGTATTTTTATTTATTAATGTTTATGCTCCTAATAAAGGACCAGAACGTGTTGAGCTTTTTAAAAAGTTGCAAAATACAATAAGACAACAAAATGATGATTTCTGTGTGATAATGGGTGGAGATTGGAATTGCACTACTAATTTCTCATTGGACAGAAATGGAGAAGAAACTCACCCACAGTCTAGTCATGCACTTCTCAGTTTAACTAAAGAGTTTGAGTTAAATGACGTGTGGAGGGATAGAAATCAGATGATTAAACGGTATACATGGATTAAGATGTTAGATTCCTCTGTTACTGGTGCAAGATTAGACAGATTATATGTTAGTAAGAAGGAAAATAATAGAATCATGAATGCAAATATTTTTCCTAATGGTTTTTCTGATCATCATATTGTTACTATTGATTTTAATATTAATATAGTACCACGTCCAAAGTATTATTGGCATTTTAATGTAAAATTATTGCAGGATAAATCTTTCTGTGAGAAATTTAGCTTCTTTTGGGAAATGTGGAAATTGAATAAGAGTTGCTTTGAAAATTTGACTCAGTGGTGGGAGGTTGGGAAAACACAGATCAGGGTCTTTTGTCAAGAATATTCTTATAATTCGACGGTACATTTAAAAAGAAAAATAAAGCAACTGGAGAATGACCTTTATGTTATGGAAAATTTGATTGATGATAATAATGAAGGACTAATTAAGGAATTAAAGAATAAGAAAATGGATTTGACGTTTTTTTTGGAGGAAAGAGTAAAGGGCGCTTTGATTAGAGCAAGGATAATGTCTATTAAAGAAACTGATGCTCCTACTTCTTATTTTTTGATTTGAAGGTTTTTTTGGAGGAAAGAGTAAAGGGCGCTTTGATTAGAGCAAGGATAATGTCTATTAAAGAAACTGATGCTCCTACTTCTTATTTTTTTAATTTAGAACGAAAAGTTGCACAAGAGAAAGTATTGCATTGTTTGCGTCGTGAGAATGGGACATTGACTTCAGATCCATTGGAAATTAGAAAAATGGCGATGGACTTTTACACTGATTTATTTGGACCTACTGACTGTGTTTCTGGAAGCATGGATCAACTGTTGCATGGGTTACCTAAGCTGAAGGATATGGACAAAGAAGAGCTTGAAAATATGATTCCGTTTAATGAACTCTCTGAAGCAGTTCAACAACTCTCTATAAGTCGAGCACCAGGAATTGACGGCCTACCAGCAGAATTTTATAAGAACTTTTGGAGCATTTTAGGCAGAGACTTTCATGAAGTAATTTGTGAATGTTTTGTGAGAGGAATACTTCCAAGTAGCTGTCAAAGGGCTGTGTTATCTCTAATTCCAAAAAAAGGAGATCTGGGTTTGTTAAAAAATTGGAGACCAGTTTCTTTAATGTGTTCAGATTATAAAATAATATCTAAATGTTTAGCTAATAGGCTAAAGAAATATTTACATGTTGTGGTGAAGAAGGAACAAACATATTGCATTCCAGGTCGCACAATTATGGATAATTTGTTTTTAATGAGAGATGTTATAGATGTTTCGATTAATAATAATTGTGATGTCGGGTTTTTATCTATTGATCAAGAAAAAGCCTTTGATCGTGTTGGACATGCATATCTTTTTGAGGTTTTAGAAGCTTTTGGGTTTGGGAAAAATATTATTGCTTGGATAAAGTTGTTGTATAATAATGCATCTGTTTTGATCAAGATAGGAGGAGGGGGGTTGAGTAGCCCAGTAGTTGTTAAAAGAGGCATTAGGCAGGGGTGTCCTCTTTCAGGGCAGCTATATAGCTTAGTAATTGAACCTCTGTTATGTAATTTAAGAAATAATTTGAGAGGTTTTTATGTTTCAGAAAACGTCAAATGTTTTGTGTCTGCATATGCAGATGACATAACTGTTTTTGTAACTGGTCAAGAAGATATTCAAG